AGCGGACGCACTCACGGCTGCGTGCACCCGCTGATTCTTTACTGCAGACAGCCGCTCCATTTTCTTGAGGGTACTGCGTACCCCGCTAAATCTTTTGGGGGTACGCAGTACCCCTCCATGCCCCCTTACTTTTACCCCTGCTAATACTCCGTTGTTCAACTCAGTGATATTTAAGACGCTATTTCAAACTATTTCCTGTCATTTCTAATTTCTTTCTTTATAACAAAATTTTAAAAAAGTGAGAAAAAAGCAGATTAAATCTGGAAATCTGAGATGTTTTGACGAGCTTCCGGGCGTTTCATGAAGCAGAAACTCACCAGAACTCCCCGTCCTCCTGCCGGACCCGTCCCAGTCGTTTCTGCTCCTCAGCGCTAACCTTCGTCCACTCATTCCTAGAACAGAAACACATTCAGACATCCAGCTGAAGCAGCTCCTACGGGCCGGAAGGCCGCTCAGCGATGATGAGGCCAAGAGAAACAGAAAAACTCAGATTTCAGGAACAAAACCTTCATTTCTGGAGACGGGTCCATGATGGCCGCTGTTACATTTACAGAACAAATGAGGACTGTCATAGTCCTGTCATGAAAACAAATTTTCCTGGACATTAAGTTGTCCCAGAAGTTATTGCGATAAATGATGATGTTGTTTTGAAACCATTTTCAAGTAATGTAATGGAATAATAATGCAAGAATACTTTCCTACAGAGCAGTAAACTTTAAATTCCAATGAACATTTAACTGGAAGACAATTTAAATATCCAAAATAAATAAGACAACAGAAACAACAAATTAAATGAATCCTGAAGCTAACATGTCTGCTTATTCAATAATTCAGCAGCAAAATAGGTTCATGAATTGAAAATATTGCTTATTCTCTTAACGTATGGTTTTCAATTAAAATCCGCCTAGCCAGGCTAGTTAGCATAGCAACCAGATTTTCCAGAAATGGTAAGTTGTTTAGCACATTTATCAGTGAGTTCATGAGTTGATTGACAGCACTTAGCCCCTCCTCCATGCTCTGATTGGTTGTTTTTGGTGCATTTCTTCAGACAAAGGTAGCAGCTTAGGCAGGAGGTGGAGATTGATCATTTCACAGATTATCTGTCTCTTATTACACTGTGTCAACATAGTGACAAATGAAGAACAAATGAATGCATTGGTAGAGCTGCTCTGATTTAATTTAATGGCCCTTTGAGATCAATAAAGTATTTTTAATTTAATTAAATTTGAATTGTAATGCTGTTTACTGGTTGCCTACCAAGATGGCACATTTCCAGGGAAACTTTCTTCCAGTCTGGTCTTGTGGGAGCTACCTATTACAGAACTTATGAAACATGTCGCACCACTAATAAAAACGTTTTAGGTTTTATTGAAGACCCTAATGTTAAAATAAAAATGCTAGTAAAAGTTGCACCGACCCGTCGTAGTCGCTCCAGGCCCCTTCCCACTCCGTGTGGCCCCATGGATTAAGGATTCGCACCAAATCCTTAAACCCATCAGTTGTTTTCACCTGGTGGAGGGAGAGAATTAAATATTGTTTCTTTGTGGTAGCAGAAGATCATTTCGGTAAGAACCCTGTTCTGTTCTTACTTTGTTCTCAGTAAACACCTCAGTGCTTCTTGCCACCTGAGTTTGACATTTATAATCCCTCGTTTGTGTTTGTTCAGTGAGCGTTACCTTCTCCACCGCCGTCAGGGAGTAGGCATGTCGGTACATGATTCCCATCTCGTTCTTCTTTTCCAGGTCACCCTGAGGCGAAGCAGCCGTCAGAAAGGAATGAGGCAACATTAACACCTCAAAACAAATTTCAACACATATCACACAAATACACATGTAACCTTTTATTGTTTGACATTAAATCAGATCAATATAAGTTTAAACAATTTGGTTAGAGGTGTGGAATGTTGCTAAAAGCATTTGCTTCTCATTTCCCTGGTGGAGATGTTTGACGTTAGTCTCCACCAGGTGAACCTCCTGCGCCTGCGTACCTTGCCGTTGGCACAGTTGATGAGCGCTCCTTTGGCCAGCAGGCTCCTGAGGAGCTCCGGCAGGTCTTTGGACACCAAGGGGAGGCTGAAGACCTCGGTCACTCCGCCGGTCATGTCCACCATGGCCTCATGAGGGTGACCCAGTTCCAGCGCTCTGTAGCCGCCTTTCAGCCTGACTCAACCAAACAGACGTCAGCAGCTCAGGGATTTCATTTCATAAAATTAACTTTCAGAACCATCCAAAACCAGAAGCCTGATTAAAAACAGAAATAAGTCAAACAGTTTTCCTAAATGTATTTATTTCTGCCCTACTTACTTTGCGTAGGCCTTTTCCAGCAGAGAGCTCCAGAACTCGTGCTTTTCGGGGGAGCTGAGGTAGATCAGCTTGTTGTTTAATGTTGGCAGCAAGTCGTCAATCTTCACCTCCTCCCACTGCCCATACTGCCAGAACTACACACAGAGTTACAAAAACCCTTAAGGGGGACCTGTTACGGCTCCTGGAACAGTTTAGCTAAGCAAAACATTAATCTCATAGCTAATGAGATCTATGAGATCTCAGTCTGGATCTGCTTTCAGAGTGATCCGTTTTAGGGTCTCTGTCACTTTAAATCCAAATAAACTGCTGCTGGCCACACCAACCAACTCAACTTTTACAATCGCACATGAAAATGTCTAAAAACAGATGCACAATTATGCAACCACACATCTTTGAAAAGCATTAGTAGAGCCTCCTGCACAACAAGNGGTTTCTGGATGGTAAGTCAACAACAAAACAAAACAAATTCTGTAATTTTACATTTTATTTTGAAAATCTTCACACAAACCATTCTGGGGACCTCTCATTGGTTTGTTTGCTACTATAACTGGAACAAATGTCTGGAATAAACTTCAACTGGGATTTAAATGGAACCAGAGACCTTAAAACTCTGAACTCTGAACACATTGTGAAATAAATAAACCCTGGCTGCCTCTTCTTCACCAGATACGTACTCTGAAGAAGAACCTGCCGTTGTAGCCGTCCTGGAAGCTCTGATTGAGAGGAACAACCTTCTTGAGAAGTTCAGGGTGATTCGCCAGAGATGCTATGGCAGAAAGCACCCAGCAGTCAGCTGCAGAGGAAACACCGGGACGTTAAACTGGAGGCTCCTTCAGCTGGAGGCTCCTTCACCTTGAGGCTCCTTCAACTGGAGGCTCCTTCAACTGGAGGCTCCTTCAACTGGAGGCTCCTTCACCTGGAGGCTCCTTCAACTGGAGGCTCCTTCACCTGGAGGCTCCTTCAGCTGGAGGCTCCTTCACCTGGAGGCTCCTTCAGCTGGAGGCTCCTTCAGCTGGAGGCTCCTTCAGCCGGAGGCTCCTTCAGCCGGAGGCTCCTTCAACTGGAGGCTCCTTCAGCTGGAGGCTGACTAATATTTCTCCACATGAAAACCTAAACTTCTCTGGGCTCTAATAGTTTTGCTTTAACATTCATATTGATGTATTTGGATGGAACTTTAATGAATCGGCTGCCGGCGGCTCAATGCTTTGCACAAGATGGCTGCTGCAAGACAGCATTGCTGCATGGGCTCCTTCATGAGTGACAGGAACCTCAAACACGCTCAGTCACACCTTAAAAACTCTTACATTCAAGTATCCAAAGCTAAGGCCCAAAAAATTTCTTACATTTATTTGTAAAAGTTTGAGACATTAAACTATTATAATGTTTAATCATGTATATTCATTGTATTTTGTTTTTGTCGTGGGAATTTTGTCAGGAAAAATTCAATGCATTCTGAGACTCAAAGCAGTTGAGGCTACCGCTAACTAGCTGCTAACATACCCATGCTAGCTAAATAGCTAGCTTTTTTTAATCAATCATGGGTAAGTGCAAATAGGCCAGTCACAATAATCAATAAATCAATTGATCGCATGATAAATGAAAACAAACTCAATAATTTTCATTTGTATGATTTATCGGTTTTTTTCTACCAAAAACTGGAGGATAAAAATCTTCAGTCTTGTGTTTTGCCATTTTTGAAGGATTATTTTGTTTACATAAACTTCATAATTAATTTTATTTGTTGTTTCTGTTGTTTATTTATTTTGGATATTTAAAATATCTTCCAGTTTCAGTGTTAAATGTTAATCAGAATTTAAAGTTCACTGTTGGTTGAGAATGTGTTCTTGCATTATTACCATTACATTACTTAAAAATGGCCTCCTGAGTAAATGTGATATTTTGACAAGTGCAAATTTATTTTAGCTGGACGATGTTGGTACATGTCTATTCCAATCAGAATGATCTTAAAAAGTCTTTAAAAGTCTTAAACTTCATCTGGTGAAATCTTAGATGTGTATTATGTTTTCATCCTGTCTAAATTGGTGAATGAATGAATAAGTTTTAACTTTTTCACCCAATGTTTTTAATCAATCCATATTGGTGTATTTTCATTCCACCTTGGAAATAAATATTTCAAATCTGTTAAAATCCCAGTATTGACAGAAATGAGCATTAATTCATCCAGGTTCTGTTTTGCAGCTCTGCATCATGTCAGGCTGGAAGACAGAAGGTCTCTCACCGAGTTTCCCCTGGCAGATGTCGAGCCGTGAAGCTCCGTCCACGATGAACTTGGGCGAAGAAAAAAGCTCCTGGAGACGCCATGAAGTTCAGAGAAGGACAGAAAGAAAAAGATCAGGGTCAGTTCAGAGCTGGCACAACATCCAGTTCCTGGTTATTAGTCTGCAGAAACGCAGCCGTTTCCAAGAATCAGGAATTTTAATGAATCGGCTGCCGGCGGCTCAATGCTTTGCACAAGATGGCTGCTGCAAGACAGCATTGCTGCATGGGCAAGAGCAGCACTACTTCAACATATTTTTATTCCAGCAAAGTAAAAAGCAGCTTCCAAGAAATTACCCAAGAGTAAAAAAGTTTTTGGTAAGAAGTTTACTCAAGTACTGAGTAACTAATCAAATTAGAAATTTTATTATGAAGTATTTCTTCTCTTGAGTAAAATTTCTGGATTTTCTCACTGAATGAAAAACAATCTTGTTTTACCCAAAAACTCACCAGACACAGACTCACTCCTGCAGTTTCTGTTAAAATTTCTGAAGTTTTTAATGGAAGAAACTGATTTGGAAACATTTATTTTTGCCTGATTTTTGTTTCTTATATGAATTAATTATTTTTCATTTTTGTCTTTAAAATACCAAAATTTCCACTTAACTTTACATTTTGGTCCATCTGGTATTTTTTAAATATTAAACAACTCATGTTTTGATCAGTTGATCTTTTTTTTTTTTTTTTTTGCAGTGCTCTTGCTACAAGGCAACAGTGAAATCCGTTTCAGGTTTCCTAATATTTTGTGACAGACCCGTTTCTGCTCGCCAGAACATCCAGTAATTACCGCCTACACGCTGGAACCGGCTCGGTTCGTGTCGCTCACGTTTCAGCGACACCAAACAGGTTGAATCCTCACCGCCCGCCTGCCAGCGTCCATCATTAAGGAAGTAATTAACAGCCTGAAGGTCCTCCAGTCATAAACACCGAAGGGCCTGAGCTAACTGATGGCTGCGAGCCAGAGCAGGAAGACACACAGTAGGATGTTCTTTACATGTTTCACCAGACCGGTTTGTTCATCCAGCAGCTAATGTTTAAAGAGCAGCTGCTCCAAACCCCCACAGAGCTCCGTGTTTGCTTTGCATCAGGATCTGTAGGTGCGGACAGAGAACTCCTGGTTTCCAGCTCTGTTATCTGGTTCTGTTTAATGTTTCATCCCAATGTTGGCAAAGTGATTAACTGTCGCAGCCACATAATGTGAGTCCATTTCCGCCACTGATGAAAAAATAACAAGCTTTTATCTTATAATTACGGCTTAGCTAGAGTATGTCTAGTTATCTATTATAATAATTATTTATTCATCTATTGTAATAATCAGCTAATAGCTAAGACATAAAAATGACCAAAAGCCATAAATATGATCAAGTGAAAACAATGACAATTTTTGTTATGACTCGGCTTCCAGCTCGATTAGTCAAAATGAGTTACTTAGCCATAATTATGACTTAGCTGGTCATAATTAACTATGACTAGCTTCTAGCTAATAATTAGCTATGGTTAATAATTAGCTAGTCATAATTATAGCTAAATATGACTAGTTCATGAGATCTCATAATAATGCGATAGCTGTCACATAATACTGAGATCCTAAGTCATACTTCATCAGAGTGGTTCTGGTTCTGGTTCTGCTCGGCATCCCCAGAACCAGATATGGAGAAGCAGCATTCAGCACCACAAATCTGAAACAAACTTTCAGAAAACTGCAAATCAGCCGAAACACTGAGTTCCTCTGAATCAAGGCTAAAAACCCATTCAGAGTTGCCTTTGGCTCACTGATGGAACATTGATCAATATGTTTGCTATATTTTTGCTTGATGATTTTGATAGTTTTTGTTGCTTGTTTCATAATTGGTTTCTGTTTTATGTTTTTATGTTGGGATCATTCTGAACTGCCTTGTTGCTGAAATGTGAGAAATGAGATCAACCAGGTTGTTTGAGCTGCACTGCTGAAAACACTCTTTGTGTTCAGCTTTGTGTGTTTTCCTCCTTCATGTCGACTCTGATTTATTCCCTGCAGAACTCCAGGTCGCTGTTTGGACTCCCTTTTTCTTTTTACCTGACTCACCTTCTCAGGTAAAACTCAGACATTGCCTCCAGCTGCATATCAAATCCACATTTTTCACAAAACCTGTATTATTGTTTCACTGCTTCCTGCTGTAAGTGCTGGAATAAGGAGGCTAAAAGTTCAGTTTTACAGCCTGGTTAGGCTTTTAACCCTAAATCTGCCTGTAATCTGTCAGAATGACTCTGGAGCGTCTCGTTCAGATCAGTCACTAAAGATTTCCTTCCTATGGAGAAGTTTATGCCTATAGTGAACAGCATTAATACTCCTCTTTACACACATTTTATTGGAGGTTTTTGTGTATTTCATGTTTCAGTTGCTGCTTGACTGATCCAACCAACTTTTCTCTCCCTGAACTTTTGTTTCTCTAATTGTTTGATTTCAAAACTCAACTGAAACTAAAATTAATTCAGATTAATCTGGTTTTAATAATAAACATCTGTAGTTTTTTTGTGATTACTTCCTGAAGGCAGAGTTTCAGAAAGAGGAAGAGCTTCTTAAAGAGACAGAAACCCAGGCGTTAAATCAGGAAGTAAAATTTCTTTTAAGTCATATTTTTATATTTAGCAGTCTTATAGCAATTTAAGGTAACATAGTTACTTGCTTATCCTATAAAGTCATAAAATGTGCCTAGAAAACACATCATACTGCCCCTTTAAGATGTTTCTAATTAAAAAGCTCAATTGGTTTAATAAAAAAAACAGCAGAATTTTTATTTTTTAAACCTAACTGGTAAATAATCACCTTATTTTGGATCCAAGTAGCTCAGCTTGTTTATCCCTCAGGCCGGCTGTGCAGCAATGGAAACCAACACTTTGCAGAGTTGGGTAGGAAGTACTTACATTTACTCAGTTACACTCACTGTTTTGAACATTTGTACTTTTAGGGGTATTTTTACTACGCTGTACTTTTTACTTTCACTTGAGACTGATTCGGAAACATTTTCTTTTCCTGATTTTTATTATATAAATTATTGTCATTTTGGTCCTTAAAATACTTGAATTTCTATTTAATTTTATATCTTGGTCCGTCTGATGATGTAATTTATAAATTCTTTATTATTTGATCAGTTACTCAGTACTTCAGCAAACTTTTTTACCAAATACATTTTTACTGCTAATTTCTTGCTACTTTTTACTTTTACCTGAGTAAAAATACGTGGAGGTTGAACTGCTTTTACTCGTTTTTTTGGCCCTGAATCTCGTGTTGTTGTTTTTACCTTCGGTCGCATCCATCTGACTCCGGCCTCCATCTCCAGCTGTCCCACCGGGAAGTGGTAGTCCACGCACAGCCCGTCGCGGCCCACCGTCTCCACCTCCCCGCCCTCCAGTGGGATCCCCAAGGCCCCCATGTTCATCAGCCACAGGCGGGACTGCGAGCCCATCAGGTCGTCGGAGCACTGCGAGTCCGCATCGTCGCTGTCCGGCGGAGGGAGCGAGCTTTCAGAGGACAGACTGCGGGACTTGAACATGCTGAGCCGCGCTGTGCTCACCTGAGCTCCGCAGGCAGGTAATGAACTCCCGCAGGCCCCGCCCACCCAGAGCAAACCGCACACCTCTAATAACTAAGGTGTGGCGCCTGCATGTCAAGATTAGAAAACTGCTGATTTAACCTAATCGGAGTCTCTGATCTTTATTTTTAATCAAGCTTTACTACTATTCTGTCATATAAAAGCATCTTTCCATTTAAACAGCTTTACTTTAAACCATGAAGTCATAAAAACTAACTAAAGAAAAGATTTTATCTTTCAGACCAAGAATGAAAGCATGTTAAGCTCTTTACTGTAAAAAAAAAAAAACACTGCAAAAACAAAATCTAAAGTATTTTTGGTCTAGTTTATAGTGCAAATACCTCGGTACACCTGAAATAAGACAAAACTAACTTCAGCAAAATACAGGAGCTTATTTTATGTCCGTTACTCCTTAATATTTACTAAAAAAAGTTCTTGTTAGATTATTTTATTTATAACGAGACATTTTTCCCACGTTATAATGGAAAAACTCCTGCCTGTGAAACTAGAACTTTTAATTAATATTAAGCAATTATTCGCTTAAAACAAGCTGAAAAGTTAGTT